GATAATTATTATGCCTAATATGTGTAATTTACAGAAATGTTGCTAACTGAGAAATAAAATGAAGAGAGGATAGATGAGACGGAAAAAAAACATGTTTTCAAGAAGGTGGTTTCGTAAAAACGATTACACCTGAATCCAAAGCCACAAACCTCATTTGTTGTTTGTTCAGACCAGAATAAATGCAAGGTATAGCCTTCTCTTCCTTTAGGCCTCCTTCTAGCTTTTTCCAATAGTGTTGTCAGGCTAGACTTGCCAAAGTGTACCATAGAGAAATTTTATTTTCTATAATAACTATTCTCCATATTTGAGTAAATGTTGCACACTGCTGTGAAACAAAATTGAAATCAGCCTAGTGGAAAAGTGAACAGGGAATAAGGTCAATCTGGAATAGAGGGTGATAACTATAATGAGCGACTGTGCAGGCCAGACTGCGGGTTCATTGAAAGTGTAGACACTATTCTCCAGTGTATTTATAACGCTGTGTTATAATGCTGTAGATATTATTCTCCAGTGTATTTACAATGCTGTACATGTGTTCACATTTTTCAGAAAAGAAAGAAACCCCAAAATGAGGTAACTTATTTATGAAATGTAATTAAACATTATAAACCATCAAATTAGAAGAAAATAGGTATTAACTAGAGGTTCTAATGTATCTACCTTTTAAAATGTACACAAAAATTAATATTCAAATTGTCAGGGTTTTCCTAAGAACAATGGACTTGTTTAATTGTTTATAATGCTGAGGACAGTATTTCCTGTTTCTCAAGACTAGCTCTTTTTATCCACAGACAAATATAAGTGGCTGAACTGAAGCCCAGCAGTGGCTACTCTTAGACGGCTGACACACATTACACTTAAGACATGATTAATTGGTTAATCACATCTTAAGTAGTGATCTGGCCACACATTCATTCAATTAATGGTGTGATAAAATGAGAAATAAGCCACAAAGTTATCACACAAAGTAATAACTTTGTACCTGATTCCTATCACACCTTCAATTGAACACATGGCCAACACTCCCAACCTCAGGAGGTCTTCAAATCTCCTGTGTGCTCCAGAGGCTGGGAGAGCCCGATTAGGACTCCCAGCCAGAGGAACACAGGGAGCTAAGCTTGCTACTTGCTGATGCAGGGGGAGCCCAAGATCAGGATATAACGAGCCCAGCTGAGGGTTGCCAGGGTAACGAGCACAGCTGCTGGTTGCTGGGGCAACTAAAGAGAGCCAGCTGCCTGTAGGAGGCAGGGCCTGGCCCTTATAAAGCCCAGGGCTGAGACCAGGCTGGCAGTTCCCTGCCAGCAGCCAGAGGAGCAGGAGCAGGAGCAGGAGCAGGAGCAGGAGCAGGAGCAGGAGCAGGAGCAGGAGCAGGAGCAGGAGCAGGAGCAGGAGATCATAGGAACTGCTCTAGCTGAGTGAATGATGGCAGCTCAGAGAGGTTTGAGCACCATGGTTCTGCCAGGAGGCTTTGTTTGAGTTATAGCCAGGAGGCTTGAGTTTGTTTGGCTTTGGTATGACACTGGTGGTTTGGGTGAGGCTATAGGGGTTGGAGGAGGCCTCATAGGGACCCACAGGGGGTGGGGCCCTAGTGCCAGTGGTATTCTCAGGGGGAACCCCAGTGGTATGGGAACCCTGGCACCAGTGAAGGCGCCATGCCAGTGAGGGCGCAGCTTGCGGGGTGTAGACCCCAGCCCCGGAGAGGGGCAGCTTTGAGAAGCCCCAGTGTGGGCATGATGAGCCCCAGAGAAGGGGCAGTGTTATGAGGAAGCCCAGTATGGGCACAGCAAGCCCTAGAGAGGGGGCAATATTATTAGGAAGCCTAGTGCGGGTGCGGTGAGCCTCTGAAGAAGGGCTAGTGCTGCGACAAACCCC